TTGGAGCGCACTTAGGGGCACAGCCATGGCAGGGGTGCCGAGGACCCCACCTTGTCCCCCCTTTATGCTCGTTGGGTCACCGTCCCTCTTCCAGCACCCACAACGTTCTGGTTGCCCGTTTCCCTCCCTGTTTTCTTGTGCTTTCCCCACCCGTGGTCCCGCCGAGCCTCAAGAGCTCCTCACCCTCCCGGCAGCCCGAATGTCTTTTGCCCCCGGCCCTTTTCTGGGAGGGCTGTTGGCTTCGCCTGGCGCCCAGCCCTAAAAGGAGAGGGACAACAGCAGCGAGGCGACAGCCCTCAGCAGCTCCCCGGAATAGACAGCTGGAAGATTGACAAGGGAGAAAGACGGTGCTCCCGGCTCATCAGGCCAAGGGTGTCACCACCTCCTGCCCAGGAGACATGGCGCGAAGGGCTGGCTCGCAGGCTCGGCGCATCCGTGCCGCAGTTCTACCCGGGACTGGGAAGGAGCAGGAAGAGAAAGCTCCAGCCCCATCAAAGGGATAAAACCAACAGGTTTGTTTAGTTCGCTTCAGAAGAAATTCAGGCGGATATTAAGTTCTCCGAAGGAAGGGAGAGAAGGTCTCCGAGGAAGGACAGCTACCCTGGAGTGCAGAAAACTGGAGGATCTGGTAGGTGTCAACCTCCCTGACCTCTCCAGTCCCTGGGCAGTAATACACCGACGTCAGGGTAGGTCCTTTAGATCCTTCTTGGTTGCTCTGCACCACCGCTGTGCTGGTAAGCGCAGGGAGATCACGGCTTTCTGCCCAAGTTCACGCAAGTGCGTTTGTGGCTTTTACCAGCCTCTTTCCTCCCAAACCTCTGTTGCTTCTTCACCCCAGGTTGGATTTTTTTTTTTTTTCCGACCCAGATTTCTCCAGGAATTGAAGAAAATTTAGTAGGGACTCGGGCTCACGGCTGATCTCCTCCGGTGGGAAGTGCCTTTCCATGAATTCCTCGTGGTATTTCCCATCCCGCTGCTCCTTCGTTTGCATCTTAAAAGGAGAGGATAGAAGCCGAGCCCTGGCAGGCCGTGCTCAGGTTTTAGGCACTGCTGCAGGTCCCGGGAGGACATCAGCTCTTCTCGTTTTCACAGCTGGAAGACCTGAAAAATGAGATCGAGAAGAGGCAGGCGAAAAGTGCCACCAAACTCGCGGAGGAGATTTCCCAGCTGGACCCCCCGGCGCAAGGGCAAGAAGAGAAGAATCAGCAATCGGTGAGAAAATTCGTCCGGTTTACAACTTTCCAAGGGGAAAAATCATAGGCAGGGTCCTCCCCAGCGGGTAGCTACTGGCTTGATTAGTTGGGCTTTTAGTTCCAGTTTGCTCCTGTTCCCTCTGCAGATCTGAAAACCCCGAGGGGATAAAGAGAGGGAGATTTGCAGCCTGGAAAGAGGGGGTGGGGGGGAAAAAGGGAATGAAATCACGGTCTGTGGGAGGGAATAGCGAGGGCTGGGGCTGATCAGGGGCCGTTAAGGACTATTAGTGCCTCGGGGGGCCCTGGTAACCTCCAAGGGTCTAATGGGATTACCAGTATCTTAGAGGTGTCCCCTGGAAGGATGAGAGGCAACTGGCACAGGTTGCAGCAAGGTAATTTTCGCCTAGATTCGGGGAGAAAAACGTTCTCCTGGTGAGCGTGGTGCCTCGCTGGGTCAGGGTCCCTCTCGATGTGGGCGTCTCCGTCCCCGCGCGCGTTCAGACCTTGCCTGGACGCAGCCCTGAGCAAAGGGCGGGAGCAGAGACCCGAGAAAGTCAGCGCTGGGCTGGTTCGTGGAGAAAA